CCACATCGATCTTCCCGATCCAGACGAGCTGGCCGATCCGTTGGAGAAAACGGAGAATGTTGAAGACATCGAGCACCAATAGCTGGATAAAGCACCGGGTTGTTCCAATGCTAACATTTATTTCTAAGTTTTTTTCTTTTCATTTTACCCATCAGAAGCCTTCAAACTTAGCGTGCAAAACCCTAAGCATCTTCATCTAAGTTTTCCTCAATCTCGCCCAAATCTTGATGCATATCTGGAACTGGTCGCGTCTCGGATGACAATGGTCCTACCGTATTATAGGTATCGTCAACCATCCAGCCATAATGTTCAAATACTCGGGCCATGCTGACCCTGTCAAAGCGTCTGAACATCTCCACGATGAAAGGCATCATATCACGATTATTGAATTTCACGTAGAAGCGCTGGAACACTTTTTTCACGTAGCCAAACAGAAATTCAATGGGATTGAAAAACGGGCAATAATCAGGAAGAAAAATCGGTACAATTATAATGCTTCTAAGATAGTGCATGATTCCGGATTGTCAGTGGATTGATGCCCCATCAAGAATCCACACCGAATTTGTAAGGTCCTCTTGAAGTACGTAATATCTTGACAGCATCACACGAACTGTACACGATCAAATGCCCCCACAATGTCGTAGTAATCAACGACGCCGTTGATTTTAACGAAAGCAAGCAGCGAGACCCTTGGCTTCCGTTGAAACTCACCGCGAATTGCCACCTGATGCCCTCGAAGAGCGTAACCACGCTTCCGCAACATTCCACTGCTGTCGAACGCTACTTCTTCCAGAAAGACAATAGACTGATGTGTCCAATTAATGTGGTTGAGCTCTTCAGCGAAGCAAAAATATGTCACGCTCTTCCGCGAAACGAAAATATGGCACGCTCTTTTATGTGATAAGGGGGGGGGGATACGTTCAAGGCGAGACCAGAATCGTGTATTATTCTCCATACAAATGACTTTGATATGCAAAGCTGAAAGTGCTGGGAAATGAATCTTGAACCTCGTCAAGATATGACAGTGGTCTCTCCTCGAAAAATACACGAAGCCAAAGGCGTTGTTCTACTGAAAAATTCCTATCAGACTTCGTTGTGATACGATGGTAGGTTCCCATCTCTTCGTAAACACGAACACAGCTACCAATAGTTTGTGGGGTTTGTTGTAAATGCGTGCCAGCTCTTTCCTCGAGTAGCCGACGTAGTAGTAGCCGTACAGACAATGGAAGACCATGTTCGGATGGGCGTGCTGCTTAGTAGCTGCATCTTCCATCGTATTAAGTGACGGGATGTATACAGCGACAAGCGAGATCACGGCGACTCAGGGCCGCACGACACGAGATCCACAGCGACACAGTGCTACAGCAACACGAGACCACGTTGACAATAAAGTCCACGGATGTACGACACGAGACCACGGCGACGAGAGATCACAGTGACACCGAGCTACAGTAGCACGAGACCACGGCGACGCAGGGCCACACGACACTAGATCCACGGCAGCGAGAGACCCACCTTGGTACAAACCACAGCGAGTAGAGGTCAACGGCGGCACGAAACCAATGCCACACGAGACGACAGCGACAAGAGAGATGCAAACGAGAGAACCCGCTTGATTTTGACCAATGGCCGACCTCGGTTGATTGAACTGGCAACTCGTCAAACCAGTCCGGCTCGCATAATTTAACACCAATTTACAATTTTAGTATTCTAAAAGCTAAGGACCTCTTCCATAATTCATCCAAATGTGAACAGCTGAACTGATTTTTAGCTGGGTTCTCCCATCCGCTGTTTTGGCAATTCCGCGGGAAGCAAACGCGAAATATGTCAATTAGCAATCCCCTGGATGTCATTATACACTATAAATATCAAAACCTAATAAGAAATGAGATTTACTAAAATAGGAAATTCTGATGTGTACTGTTGAGCTCAGTTATCCTCAGAGTCCGCCAATAAATACTGATTCACCATATAAATTTTGGCTGGGCTTCCGACAAATATTTGTCGGAAGCTGTCGGAGATAAGATACCAACCCACACGTGACCATTGGCCAAAATACGAAAATTAAGACATTTTAATTGGTGTAAAGCTGACAGCCCCTAACCTGATCACTATCCCATTAATACCTAATTATCTGTCGAAAATAAGTGTTTATTCATCCATACATTCCCTACTTTCGCCATCCATTCCGTAAAACGCGGTGGCAGCACTAGGATTAGTCGTGAGCAGCCTGATAAACCTGAATCGCTGATCCACCCAGTGAACGTGTTCTTAAAAATCTCAATTGTCTCACCAAAGCAGGAAAGCGGTCGACCCCTGTTGTGACGCGCAAGAAGGAAGGCTGCAATCGATTCCCGCGCTTCCGCACTACTCACATCGATCCGCTTATTTTCTTATCTGTGTTTTTTGTCGTTTGGTTGACGTTCCTCTTCCTACCAGACTATCACGGCTCGGTCGGCGGACAGCGCTACGTTGCTCCTTGACCGACGATTCATCGTCGGCTTCTTGTAAACTCGCTTAATAATCAGAAAAATTGGGTGGTTGACTCCGTCGATCTGAATGATCGAACTAAGCTTCTGTCGTGGTCGAAGACTCCCATCAGCATCGATGGAATCGCTAAGCTCACTGAGTGAGGAAGGAGCCGATCGTGACCACCCTGTAGCGTCTTCATTTTACACGGCAAAAGCTCCTGTTGCGACGGTTTGAGATATGATTGTATCCTGCTCCGTATACATGTATATAGGTCTCGTCCTGAACTCTCTTGCATGGGGGTGGGCGCGATGGCATCGTACCACACTGAGCCTGGAGCTGTGGGTGGATGGGTCCCAACCAAAGCTGCTGCTGGCTTTCATGGCTGAGTAGACACGGTACTCCTTTTTCAGTTCAGCCATCTTGTTTTGAAGTTGTTTGCGATATCGTGTTTGGTCCGTGAGCAGGCGGTCGTTAAAATCTCGGAGAATGCAGTTTCAAACTGCCCTCTTGAAATTGCCTTCGAAGAAAACACCTAGACGCATCACCTGGTCTTAAACTTTGTTAATAAACCGAGCAGTGATGCTTTGAACACCATCGCTGAGGAAGAAAAGAAATGAAGATGTTGATCTTGAAATGGAATTTGAAACTCCTGACATCGTGTTCCCCCAAATCTATAATGTTATAAATATATACATGTTTTAGCGCGAAAGCTAAAACGGTTTTATGCTCGACTTTTTAAATATATTTATGAAGGAGTGAGATTTCCCCCCAACAATATTTTCTAGTGCCAAGCGGAAGATTACATGAGCTCTCTGCCAGTATACCAGGAAGAGCATACTTCAGATGATGAAGAGGAATGGGATGTCCTTCTTCTTATGGGCGTTGTAAAATCCGATGGTCGATATATAAAAGCTCATTTTGCGAAAGAGAGATGTCGTACATCGATACTGACAGGGGCTATGTACTATGAGAAGCTGCTGAATAGTCAAAGTCCAGTACGTTTCTCGGAAGCGGCTAGAATAAGCGTTCATACCTTTAATTTGCTTCTCTCGGAACTCGAAGCAACTTCAATGCTACCAACGACATCCCCTGTTTGTAGCGGAGAGCGTCTGCTTATATTTCTGTACGTTTTAGCAGGAAAAGCAGCACCATGGCTCAGGAACGCTTCCAGCATGGACCAGGGGACAATTTCGAAAGATGTTCGGCACCGTATAGCAGCAATAAAGACACGATGAATAACTTTCATTAACCTACCAGGAACAAGCACCACAGAAGAGATTACCGAATCAAACAAGTTTTTTTTTCTATTTCAAAATCTGCTTGGGCGCGTTAGATGGAGCTCATATCGCGATCGCGCCTTCTACTGAAATTGCTTCGAGATTAAGAAACTGAAAAGTTTACTTTCGACTTATGTCCTCGGCGCATGCAACTTTGCAATGGAATTTCTCTATGTACTACTTGGATGGGAGGGATCAGCTCACGCTGGACGTGTACTTGAAGATGCAGTTCACCACGACTTTCAAATCCCCGAAGGTGACTTGTGTAAGCTATTTACCATTCTTTTGTTTTGCTAATACAATATTGGGATACAGGTAAATACGTTTTAGGCGACGCTGGTTACGCTTTAAACAGCTACACCATGACCTTCTACCGGGGAATCCGCTATCACTTGAAGGAGTTTGGCGACGGCCTTAAAAAAACACAGAACAAAGAAGAGTCGTACAACGTACGCCACTCGATGTTGCGAAACGTTATTGAACGAGGCTACGGAGCAGTGAAGAACAAGGTTCCGGTTTAGCTAAGTACGAAATCGTACTCACTTGAAGAGCAGATTGAGCTGATACAGGCGGCTTCGCCGTTTTCAGTTTTATTCGTCACAGCCGTGACGAATTTGCAAATACTCACGGTACTTCCAGACGCAACGACGATGCAGACCCTGACGAGGTTGGCGCGGGAGACACAGAGCCAATTGGTGCAGACGATGGCACCATGAAAAAAACTACGTGATGACATCGCAACAGCAATGTGGGTAAACTACCTTATTACTCTTGCCGGAAGATTCGGAGAGGTCGTAGTGTAGGAACTCAAGCAAAACTATTACCTCATAAGGCGCCCAACGCACAACTGGGCCAATTTAAATATGATTTTATCATCTAAGTTTGTGTCACCGCCAATATTTGCTCTTACAGGCACACTCTTCTCAATCGGCGGGATTGTCACTCCATCCGCGTCCCAATTTAGGCTTTATAGATGATAGATAATTTTGTCTTAGATACTGCTGAAATTGGCATGTGGAACGCGCAGATTATATAGCGATCAGCTGGATATAAAATATCCGCTGAAATGGTCCCAATCAGCTGAAACCTAGACTTGCGGAACAGACCCTAAAGCTCTCTAGCCGCGCCTTAGGCTTGGATTTTACCGAAAACGCCGCATCTCTACTACCTTCGGAGATTCACTAGCGCTTCGTGAAGACTGAGATGCTTAGTACTTATGCTCAATTGATTCTCCATTTTGCGACACTGAGAATGTTCGACACAGGTCGAGTTGGACTGGACGTGTACACCACAACATTCGTCGACGTTAAAGGCATGATTGGAGAGTACACTGGGGAGATCAGTGAATGGTCTGCTTTAGTGGCAGGCCAGCTCGACCAAGCCCGCAAATAGAATAGTGGATACACTCTACTTTATCCTACCAAATTGGCGAAGAAGAAGCTTGTCTACGTGGATGCTGTCGAGACTGGGCCCATCACAAGATTCATAAGCCACGCTTGTGACCTGAGCGCTGGATTTGTCGCGATACAGAACCGCCACAACGTTAATATATATGTGAGGATGATCAAAGATGTGAAGGCAGGCGCTGAAATAATGGAAACGAAAGATGCGCTTGTGACGACTGCTGGAAAGGTAAGTTGGAGAATTAGGTGAGCGCAACACTTTTGTGAAAGTCCGCACTCGTAGCTAGACAAGGTGGCTAACGAGAATACAGGTCAAGCTCACTGACTAGTGTGTTAGCAAGATCGCGGCTTGCACGTTGTTGCAGATGTCCCAGAAACAGTCCCCGACACAGCGGCACTTATGGAAAGAGCCAAGGTCGGGGAAACAACATACTTGTTATAGGTACGACTTGTTATAGGTACGATTACGTCTGGCCACGGGTGCTCAGTCAAGAGCGCACGGCCTTCTTTGCGGGATCCTCGTACACAGGTCGACGAGCATGTAAATTAGCCAGTCTCATGTTGACTTCTGGAATCTTAAGAAGATCCTTTATCTTGACTACTTTAACGGAAGCTTTGGTGGATCTGAGTCCAACTGCGCGTTATAGCGCACATAACATGATGTCTGTGTGACGAAGTGGTTTGGAATTTTCTCGATGACGATGTGGTGTCACGACTACGACTTGGAGATAGCGACTGATAATGATCGGCTTATTGGTGGATACAGCCTCGGCCGCACCCGTGTGACATGGATGGAGACTAAGACAAGGGAGATTGTGGAAAGAAGTGCGTGCCTGATTGCAGATCATCCCGAAATTGCACGATAAGCGTGCTTCTTGGGGATGCATATCCTGGAGTGCAAGAAAACGCTTCAGTCCGTCGGACTTGAACTTTCCCTAACCGGTTGTGCCTAAAGATTGGCGGAACGTTATCCAGGCTCTTCTCACTGCAGTTCCGCTCGTCAAAGAATGAAACGGCTCTTCAGACTTCTCTCATCCAAGAAAAGCATGCGCTGGACGGATTAAAGACACATGAAGCCAAGAAAGAAGACACTGTAAGGCCGGTTCTAAACGGGATCATCATCGGATTATGATCTACAAACTCGATACCTGATTGGCTAAAAAAGACATATATTTTTTTAGTTACAATCGATGATCCCAAAATGGGATCATCACTCACTTTGGGATCAGGGGTCACGGGCACCATTCAAGAGAAAGACAATGAAAGTATCTCGCATTGTGGTCTGTCTCGCCGTTGTTGTTGCTGTGAGCGAATTACGTCGTCGACGTAGATCGAACGTTGTTTCACGCAAACGTTTGGAATGGGAGCCGCATCGAGATCGACTAGTGCAAGAAGGACAATTCGATCGCTATTATAGAATGAATGTTATAGCATTCGAGCGGCTCGTTGAATCTCTAAAGCCTGTCTTAGAACGCGATCAATTGAAGTCACGGAATAGAACTGGTATCGAACCAGTAACGCCAGTAAACAAGGTACAAATGACTATATCATGGCTCGCTGGAGGCTCTTATCATGTAATTCGAGCTCTGGCCGGTGTTAGCACCTCTGAATTTTATTCTGCTGTTATTGAAGTGATGAATGCAATATGGGATGACCCTAGATATCAAATTACGGCTCCTGTTTACGACATGGAATCTATTACTCGAGCAGCATCACAATTTGCAGATATTACATACAACATTCTTACGGGTTGTGTTGGTTGTGTGGATGGGTGGTTGCGCACTATAAAAGCTCCAAGTGCAAATGAAGTCCCCGACGTATCAGCTTTCTTTTCGGGTCACTACTTGTGCTACGGTATAAATGTGCAGGCCATGTGTGACGCAGCGTGCAGATTTACCGGTTATTGTTTTAGCTCACCAGGAAAGGTTTCGGATAGTGTGGCTTTTAAAAAGTGGCCATTGCACACTTCTATCTCCAATTTACCCTTTAGGTATTATGTCATCGGTGACAACGCGTACCCATTGTCATCATCCGTGCTGGTGCCCTTTACGAAACCGGAGATTAAAAGCAGAGATTATTCCGACTACAATTTTTATATATCCCAACTACGCATTCGAATTGAAATGACCTTCGGTCTCCTGGTTAATAAGTGGCAAATATTTAAGAGGCCACTGGCAGTGGACTATGTACATGCAGGGCTCGTCATCAAAACTTGTATGAAATTACATTATTACGGTATTAACGAGCGCATTTCTCAACCGGAAAGTGGAGGACCAACTAATGCCGCGTCAAGAGAATTTAAAGCAATGGAAAACTGCAGCTATTTGCCCACAGTAGCTGACGACACGGGTAAAGATAATATGCAGGTTGTAAACGGTCATATCTTTCACAAAGTGGTTTTAGAGCACATTCAGAGATACAATTTAGCAAGGCCTTTAAGTAAATAAAAACCAATCGGGATATTAAGTTACAAAACAAATATTCATTGATCCGTTAGTCCCTCATTATGTGATCTTGAAGCTCGTCCGATTTCTCCTGCGCAGTCTGAACGCGCCGAAATGCAGACTCACGTTCACGTTCTAGATCAGCGACGTCCATCCCTTTAAGTCCGTTCTCATGAATGCGTATGTCGAGATCGTGCAATGCTTGACGGCTACGAGCTAAAATTCCATCCACAGCGGCTATTTTCTCCACCAATACATTTCTCTCCATCTTCTCGCGTTGAAGACGTGCAACAGCGGTTTTCTCCTCAATTAACGCTCCTTTTGCACTCGATACTTCAATCTCGACGAGTTTGAAAACAGCTTCAGTGAGAATGGAAACGGAATCGAGACTCTTTCGTTGGTCCTCTTGTTTTTGCCGCTTCCTATTCACTTTCTGCTTCTTTTCACTTGGCTCCCGCTCTTTTGATTCGTCATCTTCGTTATCCTCGTAAATACAAGTAGCACAAAATTCCCGACCTTAACTGCGTTCTTTACACCACAAGTGAACGTACATGGCTACTTTATCTCCTTGGCAAAATTGCCAAAATTCGTCATGTGAGCCTGATAATCCGCATCTTACTTCGGCTGCGGCGAAACGAGAATTACATTCCTTCCACATAGACTTAAGTTTTGCACCGAAATGAGCCGTAATTAACTGCGGTTCAATACCCTCAAACAACGAGTCTGGAGACACAAAACGGTCGAAGTCATCGTCAAATGTACTAAAAGCTTCGGCCACCTGCTCCCAGAACTCCCGACCACCCTCATCTAGCTCACGCCGTGTAAGTGCGTCACCGGATGTGATAAACTTCTCGAAAAACTCTTCAGAGAAGAGTACGTTGAGCAGGCGATACAAACAGTGTTTGCTTCTGCGTTGAGTGGTCTCTGCAGAAGTACCCCTACCACGTTTGGCCTGCCGCGGACGGTCCAGTAGCAGCTCCATGGCATTCTGGGACTCATCGTACCCCTCAAGGATAATAACTTGATCGGCTTTGTTGGTATTCTTCGCCACAGAAAGCTTACGCGCGGTACACTCTAACTTTAGTTGATCTACCGTCCAAGTGCTGAAGTCGTCCGACGAGGGTGGAGGAACTGTGCGCTTGCTGCCTGCCTTCTGTACAGCAGTCCAGTGTGTGCTCACGCAACCTCCACTACTAGTGGAGACATCTGCGACCGTCGAGACGGCGGACTTCATGCTAAACGAGAGACCTCGAGCACACCGGTTTGTGTTTCTGAAGCAAAACGTCTGTGCTTCGTGACCCGAAGGGTCACGACCCCGTTAAGAGTGAATTAATCATGATCTGCACGTACACTTAACCCTAACTGGATCATGCTCCGTCGTGATCCCGCTAGGAACCGGCCTAAGCCTGAACTATATTGCTGTTGGCTGTTAGCGCCCAGCTGCACACCTTACCGACACTGTACGCCAAGAATCCAATCCCGAAGATGTATACCAAGTTGTATGCCAGCTTGGCTGTCCGTGTAATGGGTCTACTATAAGCCCACCACTTCGACTTACACAATAGCGCACGTGTATGATGAAGCGTAAGTTGCGTTTCACTTAGATTAACTATACCTTCGTCCGAAAGTATAGATTTAATTAAATAGGAAAGAAAGCCGATTTTCGGTAAAAGTGAGAGCTGTCCATCTGTTTGTTTGGGGTTTCCTCTTATTCTAATACTCTAAATGAAAGGTATTTTACAGCAAATGATTGACTGAATCCTACCATCCTAATTGGCTGAAAATATTGACGTTTAACCCATGAATGCCTAAATGCGTGCAGACCAACAGTCTGCAAAATGTAATCATTGTTGCATCTCACACCAACGTGGAAAACCTCGCTCGTAACCAAGTGGCTATGTAAAGCCACTTGCGTGTAACCCTCCTACGACCCCCCCCCCGTTAAGCGAAGACTCTCTAGTTTTAACACACCGTTCAAAGTATTGACGAGGCCGTCAAAACGTTTGAGAAACCCGAGTTCATTTTGCAATGCGCTCGGCGAGGATGACACCCGCACAAAAGTCTGCTACGGCTGTGCCTGCACCTGCAGGCACCACCACCTCAGTGTCCACGCAAGCGAGCACGCCTGCGCCAGAGGGAAACTTTCTGTCGCTCAATACCACATTCTGCATAAGCAGAAGTGTGCACAAGCTACGACTGATAGACCGTCAGTCATGATGGAGGGCTCGTCATTTATGTCTACTGATGGAGACATGACCGGAGACTATGGATCTGACATTAAAGACGTCCCTATGGAAGACGAGGACACCTTGTCTTCAGCGGTCGACTCTAAGTCGACCGAACCAACGCCCAATCCTCCTGTTGGGTCGCGGGGTGGCCGTGACGATGACCCGGACGCTCCTGAATTGAAGCGTCCGCGTAATGAAGAAGAGGCGCAGCCACTTGTGCCGGTGCCGCCTTCTTCCTTTTGAATTCATTTGTGGTTCCTCTGCCAACATTATCTGCGTTCAGCTTCTGCCTGTCTACAGAAGCTGCTATTGCGTCCTGGACAAACCATATTACAATTTGTCGGCGCTGGCCAAAGTCCAGTGATTGCTGACTTGTTCAGCACGGATTCCTTCTTCGCAGCCAGTTCAGCCTGTGAGCCGTCTGTACCCTGCACAGGCGTGTTGTCCTTCGCAGCAGACCCGATCTGCGCACTGTCTGTGCCCAGCACAGACGTGTTTGTTTTCACAGCAGTCCCGGCCTGCGCGCTGTCTGTAACCTGCACAGACGTGTTGTTCTTCGCAGCAGACCCGATCTGCGCACTGTCTGTGCCCTGTACAGACGTGTTCTTCTTTGCAGCAGACCCGAGCTGTGCGCTGTCTGCACTTCGCACAGACGTGTTTGTTTCTGCAGCAGGCCCGGCCTGCGCGCGGTCTGGACCCAGTTCAGACATCTTCTAGTTCGCAGTGCCTGTGCCCCGCACAGACAAGATATTCTTTGTCGTCACCTCGTTCCCAAAACGAAACGCTTGGCTTCGCGTCGTCCTCGCTGATACCACGTCGGCATGAGTGTTCTTCAGCGGTTGTTTCGACGCAATTGTGGACCCCCCCCACTTAAGAAGCTATCCAACGTTCCGAGGAAGGTGGAGACGAGAATGCCGCATGACATTCACGTAAAGAGGTGTATGCCCTGTCGATGCAAGCACAGAGTTGTTAATGGCAAAATCTGTCATCAGCAAGCAGTCGCTCCACTGTTGTAACGAGGGTGCGTAGCTCTTCAGTACGTCACCGAGCACGCGATTCACGCGATCGGTCCGTCCGTCCGTCTGCAAATGATCCATAGTCGACATTGACAGCTGTGTTCCAAGAAGTGCGAATACGTTTTACCAGATCCGCGCTGTAAAGCGTGGATCACGGTCTGACTCAATGTCGAGCGGCATTCCATGATGGCGGAACACCATTTCAACAAACAGTCGTGCAGTCTGCACGACCGTGGCTATAGCCGGTACTGCAGCAAGATAAACATTTTGCTGAATCGGTCAACAAAGACCACAACGCTAGTCCTCCGCTTGTTGTCTGGCGATAAACCGACAACAAAGTCCATACAAATGGACTGCCCGCCCTCCGACGGTGTCGGTAGTGACTTTAGTGGAGCCTACAAATACGCAGCAGGCTTCACGCGCTGGAACACTTCGCAAGCACGT